GCAGATTGAACGCAGGGGCACTAACCACTGAGCCACAACCCCAGCCCTATTTTGTATTTTAGAGACAGGGTCTCACTGAGTTGCTTAGTGCCTTGCCTTTGCTGAGGCTGGCTTTGAACTCATGATCCTCCTGCCTCAGCCTCCCAAGCCACTGGGATTACAGGCCATTGTGCCCAGCTCCAATATGACTATTTATTTCTATTTTAGGTCTGTTTGATTCCTAGAAAAGTTTACTCTCCCCTGTCACCTTTCACAAATTTTTTTGTCCACTGTCAAAAAAAGCACTTTTCTGGTTTGAACACTTCAATGCACATGAACTTTGCCACCTATTTCTTCCAATAAGGCTCCAGTTCTTTGGATCTGAAAAAAGCCTTATGTTTTTCCATTGTTGCATCCCAGATGTTATTCTGCAACAAGGACTTCAAAATGCCTGTATTACCTGAGCTTCTGTTGGTGCTTCTGAGCAGCTGTATTAAGTGTCCTCCCGGCTGCCTTGGAAGCCTAGAAGACAGAAATAGGTATGGAGTAAACAGAAGCCTGACCTCTGATCTTACACAGGGTCATCATGTAAGGTATTTCCAAAGCAACAAAAAAACATTAAAGTCCACAATGAGTACTCGCCTCATCCTCTTCTCAAAGGTAACAGCATATTTATCCAGATTGGCCAAGTAGTTGAAGAAAGAAAAAGTCATCCCTTAAGCTCTAATTTGTAAAAAGACATCCCTGAAAGTTTCCATGTGCCAAATTTCACTTCTTTTACTTAACATCATATTCTTTTTTAAAAAGATGGATTAATCAGTGTGATTTTTTAAGACCTTTATTTTATTCATTTGTTTTTTTAAAAATATCCCATTTTTTAAATATCTTTATTTATTTATTTACTTTTATGTGGTGCTGAGGTTCTAACCCAGGGCCTCACGTGTGCAAGGCAAGTGCCCTACCACTGAGCTACAGCCCCAGCACTTATTCGTTTGTTTTTATGTGGTGTTGAGGTTCGGACCTAGGGCCTCACACATGCAAGGCAAGTGCTCTACCACTGAGCTACAGCCTCAGCCCTTATTCATTTGTTTTTATGTGGTACTGAGGATAGAACCCAGTGCCTCACACATTCTAGGCAAGTGTTCTACCACAGCCACAACCCCAGGCCATCATACACTTCATTCTCTGCCTTATTTTCCAAAAGTTAAATTTATTTCCAATCCATATTTCAGTTTAAATGCACAAATAAAAACGGAAGACTTAACACTTTTCCCATGTGAGCAATGGGAAGCAGGGAATTGCACCTTTATTCAGGGCCTATGAATGCACATATATGGAGGTTATTTAAATTAAAGTTACCACTAGAGGAAAAAGAATAATTATTTATGTTTCTGGGGCAGAAAAAGAGGTCAAGGGGGAGTCACTCAAAGGGGAAGGCTTATTAACAATTTTTCAGGGTTAAACAAAAATGGGCGTATGGATGTGAATGTATTAAGTTTTCTGAGGGACAACTTTACCTCAAGCTGAATCAGGTGTGATGGAAACTGAAAACAGCAATTTGATCTTCATGTACTTAACAATGGGGAAACAAAATTACCATTAAACTATCAATATCTGGATCCATATTTTTCCAGAAACGTCAAGTGCTAAAGGACAGAGCCTTAACTTTTGGACACAGAGAAAGCAGTACTGGTGAATACTCTGAGAAACTACTGACTGTCCTGTCCAAGTCCCATAGAACACTGCAAGCCTAATCCAAACCGAAGGCAACATTTATCTCTTAAGATTGGCATGATGCAGGCATATGCAAAAGGTAGAAAGATAGGAAAACAAGGTGGAAAAGCAAATTCCCAATCCCACAAATTACACTGTGGGCACAAGACATGCATCCCTTCTCCGATTCGGTAACTGAACAGGTAGTTAGCCTTCTCCTTCGTTCCTAGCAGAAATGAGGGTTGCATCTTCACTCCCAGAATGATCCTTGTTCTCTATAACTAAAACAGGGAAGAAACCCTGCCTGTAGGTCACTAAGGGATTACCAAACATAAGCTAATGAACGGAATGAAAGAGGCAAAAGTTCTGGGAGAAAAACAACATAAAGCCAAGTGTCCGCCCCAGGTTCTCATAAGGCAAAACACATTTCAGAATCTGAAATCTCAGCCTCTGGAGGGGTTTAATGAGACTTTCTCAAGGGGAAGACACAGCTTGTGACCCCAACTGAGCTAATGGGCAAGCGGAAACATTCCGGAGAGTTGTCAAAAGAGCCCGGGATGAAGAACCTCCTCACTCTTGGGTCGGAATCAAGAGATTGGACTCTGCAGGAGACCCGAATTCGCTGAGGGCAAGAAGTGCGAGGAACAGAAAGGGAAAAGCTTGGAAGAGACTAGGGGTTATGGCTTCCCGTGATCCTGCAATTCTTTCTCCCACGGGGTAGGGTCCGAAAACAGCAATTCTGCGTTTTAGAGAGTAGAGGGTCGGCCTTCAAGTCACCGGGCAGGATCGAGGCCCCGTAGGCGACGCTTCCTTGTTTGAAGGCCCCTTCCCGACCCAGGACTCGGACACCCCGGCCCGTGGAGACACGGCAGCAGGGACTGACGCCTCCTTCGGGGCGGGCAGGGGAGAAGCGTACGGGAGTCTGGGCGCGGCCTCTTTTGCTCCCTCTGTCCGCGGTTTTCAGGCCCTGGCCCGGTGGGGCAACGGGCTCCAGGGGCCACTTCCCCCGCAGCTCCGAGCTCAGGCCTGTTTGGTCTCAGCCAGGCCGGTCAGGCGGCCACCGCTCCTGGCGACACTCACCGGCCCATCTCACGGCGCTCCCCGGGCTCCTCCTGCTTGTCCCGGAGCCGCCGCAAACGCGGCCGCCGCCATCCCCGGCCCCGGAGCCGCCCCACACCCAGCACCCCCCAGCCGGGCGCCCGGAGATGGCGTCAAGTGCGTCCCGCCCCCGGCGTGGAAAGATTGCGTCATGGCCTGGGCCGGGGAGCGGCGCCCCGGAGTACCCCGGCGGGGAGGGGACTGGCCGCCCGCCCCTCGCTTCCAGCGCCCCGTCTGGTGGGAAAACGCATTCCTCTCAATGAGGATGGGTCACGTGAACAGAGCTGGGCCCAGCCTCTTCACCCTGACCCTACAATGACCCCTTCTTTCATCTCTAGTAAATTCTGGGGGGTTCCGGAACCGAACCCTGGAGTGTGACCGTCGGAGACCTCCAGTGCCCAGATTTCTGGTCCTGACACGTGAAGCCGGCTCTCCGGGAAACTCCGAAAATCCCTAGGTGACCCAAGGCCCAGGATTGTAAGGAGATCCCTCCTGGGGGCAGGATCAAGATAGGAACTCTGAAAACGTTGAAAAATGTGCCTGAGTCAAATAGGAGATGGACTGGAGCCAGGATCTAGGGGAAGGTGAAGCAAGTATGATAGACCCGAAAGTTTGTCGCAGTCCCAGCGACATCTGATTAACTTAAAAACGAACAGTAGAATTTGTCTTTCTGGGGGGCGGGGTATAGGGATTGAACTCAGAACCCTCCACATGCTAGGCAAGTTCTCCAGCACTGACCTACATGCACAGCCCTTTTTATTCTGAGACAGGGTCTTACTAAATTGCTAACGCTGGCTTACAGTTTATGATCCTCCTGCCTCAGCATCCTGAGCCGCTGAGATTACTGGCATGTCCCCAAATGCTACAACTACATTTTTTAAAAGTAGTTAAGCACATTTTGTAAAACAAACAAGAAAAAAAAAAGTTGGAGTATTGGATTTTTTTTTCCCCTTTAAGTTTTGGCAAACTCTTCAATAACAATAGATTTTTGCTTATTTATTTATTTATTTTTTTAAAGCACTAGCTGAAGCTGGGTGCGGTGATGCATGCCTGTAATCCCAGGGGCTCCAGAGGCTGAGGCAGGAGAATCCCAACTTCAAAGCCAGCCTCTGCAACGGCAGGGGCTAAGCAACCCAGTGAGACCCTGTATCTAAATAACATACAAAATAAGGCTGGGATTCGCTCAGTGGTCGAGTGCCCCTGGGTTCAATCCCTGCTCCCCCACACGGGGCTGGGATTGTGGCTCAGTGGTAGAGTGCTGGCCTTGCAATGCATGAGGATTCGATCCTCAGCACCACATAAATGTAAAATAAATACATTGTGTTCACCTAAAACTAAAAAATAAATTATTTTTTTTTTAAAAAGCTAGCTTCGCTAATTTAGCGATGTCCTAAGAACTTAGTAGGACCCTGTCTCAAAAAAAAAAAAAAAATTAAAATGGGGCTGGGAATGCTGGGTTCAATCCCCGGTTTTAAAAAAAGTATTAGCTAAACCGGATATGGTGGCAATTTGGGAGGCTGAGACAGTAGGATTGCAAGTTCCAAGTCAGTCAGTCTAGGCAATTTAGTGAGATCCTGTCTCAAAGTAAAAAATGCCTGGGGTGTAACACAGAGGTGAAGTGTTTGCCTAGCAGCTCCTGAGTCCCAGGATTTGATTCCCAGGATTTGATCCCCAGCTCTGCAAAAAGGAAAGGAAGTGGGGGAAAAAAGTACCTTCTGAAGAAAGTATTGGCTGGTCTCTGATCCCTAAGATGCAGCTGTCTGACCTTAGGAAAGTAATTTTAGCACTTTAGGTCCGTGTTTCTACTACTCAAATGAGTGGGATGAAATAGATAGAAGAGCTCTTCAGACATTTTACTACATGAAAAAAATAAGCAAGTATACACAGTATGACATTGCATTTAATGTTAAAAGATACAACATCTTATACAACGCTTATATTCATGTACCTGTACAGGAAAAAGGATACATAACTAGTAAATATTGATTATCTTTGGGGATAAAAGTAGAATTGGACGGTTCGCCGCCGTAATCCCAGCGGCTAGAGAGGATGAGGCAGGAGGATCTCGAGTTCAAAGCCAGGTACTAAGCAACTCAGTGAGACTCTGTGTCTCAATAAAATACAAATTAGGGTTGGGGATGTGGCTCGGTGATTGAGTGCCCCTGAGTTCAATCCCTGGTACCCACCCCCCACCCCGCCAAAAAAAAAAAAAAAAAAAAGGAACAAAAGTAACTTATATTACTGCTTGAATTTTTATGAGAATGTTATCTTGGAAATATAAAAATTGGGCTGAGGGTGTAGCTAAGTGGTAGAATACATGACAAGCATGCACACAGACCATGGGTTCAATCCCCAGCACTACAAAAAATAATAAGTAAAAATACAAATATAGTTTGATTTGTAAGTTTCTTTCTAGGGAATTCTTAGACATTAATTTTGATATTTTCTCATATGGGTGGACACAAAGAATCTTCAAATTTATGGAGCAACACACACACACACAACCACTGGGTAAAACAGCAAGGCTACACTGTCATCTCAGTCAGCAGAGGGCTTTGTTTTATGAATATTAATATTATTTATGGCAGTCTCTTTCTCAGTTTGGCCAAGAAGGAAGTCCTGTGGTCACTCAGTGAACCCATTCTAGTCTAACTGGCATCCTGGTTTCTAGTTCATTGCTTAGTTCACTAAACTGACATTAAAACTGCCAAGATAGAAACTCTCCAACAATTCAGGTGTATTCAAGGACAGCCATTTTCTCCTAGATCAAGATACACACTCAGAGAGCTGGATTTTGTACAAATTAAAAGAGCAGGCACAGGTAGATTCAAACAAAAAAGTTTTTTGGCTACCAGCCATTACACAATGATGTAATGCCAAGGCATGTCTGTTTTAAAAACAGGACATTCTGATTGGTGAAACACAATTGATTTCCTGTTTTGGTGTGCCAGTCCCTAAAGGGTGGGTCTCATCTCTGCTGTCTGTATCCTATTCCAGAACTCTTCCAGCAATCCTCATTTGTTTGGTGGTACATCTTGACGGTAGGAACTTCTATAGGAACAGTTTAACAGGAATATTAATGATAAGTAAACTAATACAGTTTATTTTTATTTTATTTGGGGGGGAGTATTGGGGATTGAACTCAGGGGAACTAACCACTGAGCAACATCACCAGCCTTATTTTGTATTTTATTTAGAGACAGGGTCTTACTGACTTGCTTAGCACCCTCATGCATTACTGAGACTAGCTTTGAACTCACGATCCTCCTGCCTTAGCCTCCCAAGCCGCTGGGATTACAGGCGTGTGCCACTGTGCCTGGCTAGAATTTTGTTTTATCCACTTTCCATTCCCTGGATGCCTATCGAATTCCTTTGTTGTGTGCAGACAGAATTTTTATGATGGGAGAGCTTGATTTTCTCTAGTGGAAGGAAAACAACAGCAATAGCAGAATCTTGCTATGCTGGTTATTCTTCTTCCTAAGCAGGTAGGAGACCTGCCTAATTCCTCACTGATGATTTTTCTAGAACTGTAATAAAGAGTAAGCACAGACAACTATCCCAACTTGATCTGACATCAAATGAGAGAAGAGTGCTGTAACTTGTGAAAATGTGTGTCATCACAAAAGTAGGTGGCTTAAGTCACCTTTCTCATACTGTCTTACCTTCCTGCATGTATGCTTCAGCATGTAAAGTGGTATTTAAGGAAAGGAACTTCCATCCTTTTCTGCCAAAGACAAAAAAACAATTAATCCCAAGCATACATTGAAATCATAAAAACACTTAGTGGGTTTAGCTTTCCTAAAAATGTATTGATGCCTGGTATTTGATTATGTTTTAAAACCTTTTCTAAATGTCCAAATGAAATATGCAATTTTCAAGTTTCTGTCTTTTCTACTTCTCTAATTCTGTGTCCTTGTTTCCACATGCATTTAATGTTATGTGACCTCTCAAATTCCATGGAGGAATTCCCTTACAAGTTCATGAATGTTTTATTTAAAGGAGGCCTTATACTTTATTCCTTTGTGGACTGATATGTCCTTTGCAGGGAATGGGAAGTGTCTCCCTCTCTGGTCTACTTTCCTCAGACATTTGCCAAAGACTTCCATTTTTGTTAAAAACTCCTTGCAGAATTCTAAAAGGTGGTTGTAAAAACAATTTGAATAAGTTGAAGGAAACCTAACCCTTATTTGAATTACATGAGTCATTTTGAGGAATGGTCCACAGAGAAGCAAGTACATTCAGGCCATTGCTGAGCTACCAGAAATTTCTTACGTGGGTATTATTGAAATGGGTGCCAGAAAACTGGAATGAGTCCCTCATAATACTCATAACTTTCTCTTTCTTTGGGAAGCTTGCTCATCGAGGTGGCTCGTGAACTGCTTCCTCTTGTGGTGAAATAATGTTCAGCTCTACCTTCAAAGCTGATCGCCTCCGGGTTAACTTGCATCTGGTTATCAATCGCTTAAAACTCCTGAAAAAAAAGAAAAGTAAGTAAACACTCAAAGCAACACCGCATGCGGGCTCTTAGATCCTGGTGAAATCCTCAAGTTGATTTATTTTCTAAGATCTCATTTAGCAGTTTGGGGATTTAAAGGAGAGTTTCTGACTATTGGAAATGCGATCATGTTTACTATGGTGATCAATATATTTAAAAAGTTTCTAGGGCTGGGGCTATAGCTCAGTGACAGCACTTACCTCGTACACATGAGGCACTGGGTTCGATCTTCAGCACCACATAAAAATTAAAAAAAAAAAACAAAATAAATGTATTAAAAATAAGTTTTTGAACACATTCTGTATCTTGACTATATCAACACCAATATCCAGGTTAGTAGTGAACTACACTTTAACAAGATGTTACCTTTGGGGAAACCTGAGTACAAGGGTACCCTAGGTGTCTCTGAATTATTTCTTACATTGTATAAATTATTTTTAAAAGTTTCCACAGGTTTAAAAAGTAAAAAAGATATCTCCAAGTTTCTGGACTTCTTGCCACCTGCCACCAAAACAGAGAAATTTAATTAGTCTTTTTTTTTTTTTTTTAGTTGTTGATGGACCTTTATTTCATCTATTTGCTTTCATATATGGTGTTGAGAATTGAACCCCGAGCCTCATACATGCTAGGCAAGTGCTCTACCACTAAGCTGCAACCCCAACCCAACAATTTCCACTCCTTTTTCTTTTGTGGTGTTGAGGATCAGAACCCAGGGTCTTATGCATGTAGGGGCAAGCACTCTGAGCTATATCCCCAGCCCTCTTTAATCATTCTTTTTAAAGGTAGAGTAGCCATTAAGTTTGATCCCTCTGGGCAATTTTTTCTGGAAAGGCTTCTTTATCTTTTTTCAAACACACAAAAAATGCTGTTCCTTCTCCCAGTTGACAGACCCAAGTAGTGCTATACCCAGAAGCAGGGATGATGTAAACAAGTTCTATCTGCTTTCTTAAAGTCTAACTGATCTTTTTTTTCTTTTCCCCACTATTTCTTTATTCCCATGGGTTACATGAGCCATTACTCCTCAACTAACTGAAAAACTGACACCTGTCAATTATAAGAAGTGTTCACATGAAATAAGTATTGCACATAACGCAGTTCTCTGAGTGCTTAGTAAATAGTTATATTAAAATACCATTATGTATTAGTGGGAAGGTAGCTGTTACTCAAACTTCCAATTTGATTTTTGAGCATTCTCTAACAAGATCATGCAAGTGTTTGGGGGCACAATTTTGGTAACAGAGTCCTAGGAAATTATCCAAAACAAATTATGGCAAACCCAGTGGTACCCATTATTTTGAATAGTGAGAATGACAATGATGGTGTGCACAGCACTTATAATTTCCAAAAGCATGAATTTGTGTTCTTTTATTTGACCCTAACAATCCAGTGATGCATATTATTGCTCAGATATAAATATTTATCTTCTTTTTGCAAATGAATAAATTTAAATATGGAGCACAAGAGTGAGTTAAGTTAGAACAAATGAGCCCTCTCTTACCTAAATTTATTCCTTCTTGAAATGAGACAAAAATCATGACCTTCTATATCTCTCCAGGGTTCTTTGTGTATCACAGAATATTATGAAGGCACACAATAAATTTTTTGCTGAGGGCTGGGGTTGTAGCTCAGTGATAGAACTCTTGCCTAGCCTCATAATGCACTCAGTACCACATAAAAACAAATAAATAAAATAAAGGTATTGTGTCCATCTATAACTAAAAAAAATTTTTTTGCTGGTATTAGAGTTGGTTTAACATCAGTTTAGCATTTGTAGGAAACAAGTCCAATTCTGTTATGATTTTTTCCCATGAGATGTCTAAAGAAAACATTTGTCTACTTTGGACTTGGCTATTTCCTTTCCAAGCACTGAGCTTTGTGTTTATTTCAGATTCAATGTGGTTTCATGTCAACATGTTTTGCAGTGAGAGCAACTCTATGTAATCATGATTTGATGGTGAGCATCATCTTTAGGGTATGGCAGACAGAGTATATAATTCGGAGACTTGGAAATTTTCTTGGCTTGTGGAAATGCTTTCTTGAAACTCAGTTTTCAGTTGATAACACAAGATAGTGAGTAAGCCTTTATTGCCCCCAATAGATTGGCCTGGGACAGGTTACATTTGTTACCTTTCCAAAACAATCTCTTGTTCATCCTGTGGAATAATGTAAAAAGCATAGCAATTTGCACACTGAAGATTTGGCCTTTAGTTCCAGTTGAACTAACTATTCCTAATCACTTGACCATGGGCAAGCCATGTAACCCCTTGGAGTCTCAGTTTTCTCAACTTTAAAATTCAAATAACAATGCAAATCTCACACAGGTGTTACTGGGATCAAATAGAAATGTTTATATGAAAACATTTTCAAATGTAAAACACCACATGCATTTGGGGATGAGGGTTGTTAGGTAAGTGCTCTACCACTGAGCAACACTCCTAACCCCCATTCTCCTTTTAAAAATAACTAATCTTTTTATTACAAAAATTATAATTTTTCACTTTGGAATATTTTATAAAATAAAGGTAACCTAAGAGGAGAAAATAAAAGCCACGTATCAAGTCACAGCATAAAGTGGGGTTCTCAACCTTTTAACAGTTTTCAGAATCCCATGGAGGGCTTATTACAACTCTAATTCTGGAGTTTTGAGTCAGTATTTTTGGGGTGGGGCCCAATAATTTGCATTTCTGACAAGCTCCCAGGTGATGCAAATGCTGTTGATCTGGGAGTGGGATTTTGAAGACCCTCCACATCTAGTTTGAAACACATAATTTACCACCTGCATTTGTTTTTATGAAACCATTGTTTTACTCTATTGTGTAAAATTCTTTTTTTTATTCTTTTTACAGATTCATTTTTTTTTTTTTTCCCTTTGTGGTGCTAGGGATCAATCGAGGGCCTCTCACATGCTGATAGACACTTTACCACTAAGTGACATCCCCAGCCACACTTTTTTTTTTTGTATCGGGGATTGAACTCAGGGGCACTTGACCACTGAGCCATATCCCCAGCCCTATTTTGTATTTTATTTAGAGACAGGGTCTCACTCAGTTGCTTAGTGCCTGCCTTGCATTGCTGAGGCTTGCTTTGAACTTGCAATTCTCCTGTCTCAGCCCCCAGAGCCCTAGGATTACACGAGTGCGCCACTGCGCCTGTCACACATTCATTTTTCTATATGGCTTCATGCTGCAGTTGAACAGACTCAGAGAGCAAGGAAGGAGGTTGCAGACCACATGGCCACTGGGAAGGATGAGAGAGCCCGGATCCGTGTGGAGCACATTATCCGGGAAGACTACCTTGTGGAGGCCCTAGAAGTTCTGGAACTGTACTGTGACCTGCTACTGGCTCGGTTTAGCTTGATTCAGGCCACAAAGTGAGTGCATCATTTCATAGACTCAAAAGAGTGACATGACAAGGCATTCCTTGTACTTGGTAAGGGAGAGTGTGGATTCTAGCTTGTTGGGACCATTGAAGAACTCTCTCTGTCTCTGTCTGTCTGTCCTGTTTCTCTCTCTCTCTCTTTTTGTACTGGGGATTGAACCCAGGGTGCTTAACCATTGAGCCACATCCCCAGCCCTTTTTATGTTTTATTTTGAGACAGGGTCTTGTTAAATTGTTGAGGCTGACCTTGAACTTGTGATCCTTTTGCCTCAGCCTTCTAGTCACTGGGATTATAGGTGCACCACCACACCTGGTTGTCTCTAACTTTCACAGGAAGAACTACCTCTGCTCGATGAGAAGAAAATATTTTAGTCCAAAGAGCCATTAAAAAAAAAAACACAAATAGTTATGTTTTTCCTCTGAGCTGTAAAGGTATAATGTAAAGTTATGGTAGAGTCAGAAAATATATAATCAGAAAAAAATCCATAATCATTAAATCTGGAGATAAAAATTTTAGTATATCTCCTTTCAGTCTATATAAGTATCTCTGAGTAACTGTGCATATAAACATACGTGTATGTATATATATATGGTTATATTCCAATTTCAGTTAAAAATTGTTTAGCATTTTCCATAGACAACTTTTGTAGTATTTTACATGTGCACACAAATTCTGCCATATTGTTCAGTAGCACTCATGTACAATTCTTAAATCTTTCACTGAAAATGAAAAAACCCATCTGTCATCTGTTCACAGTAAAAACGGATTGTTTTCCAAAGTTGGCTGCTTTAGTTAAGATAGGAAGTGAAGTTTGAAAGATGGTCTTTCCATTTTACAAATTCATTAAATAAAGACCAGTCAAGAAATACAGTAGTATCTAAGAAAACAAGGTGGTCTAGAAGCTGGATTGTTACAAAAAAGGCAAAGAACATTTATATACAATTAGTTTTATGTCCTTCTACTGATGGGTATCAAAGGTCTTTATTGAAGTACTAGCGATATACATGAGTGATAGAGAGCTTGCCGAGCATGTGCAAGGCCCTCAATTCAATTCCCAGGGGTTTAAAAAAGAAGTTCTTTTAATTTTCTAATCGATCTATGAAAGTATAAAAATTGTACATATTTATGAGGTACTTTGTGATGTTTTGATAGTATATACAACTATATCTATAACTTCAAACAGTTATTATTTCTTGCTTTCATTCTTTTTTACCCAGGGGCATTCCACTACTAAGCTATAACCTCAACCCTATTTTTTATTTTGAGACAGGATCTCACTAAATTTCTGAGATCAGCCTCAAACTTAAGATCTTTCTGCCTTAGCCTCTTAAGTAGGGGAAATTACAGGTATGTGTCACTGCACCTGGCCACTTACCATTTATTTTTTTTAAATATTTTTAGCTGTAGATGAACATAATACCTTTATTTAATTTATATATGTAGTGCTAAGGATAAAACCCAGTGCCTCACACATGCTAGGCAAGCACTCTACCACTGAGCCACAACCCCAGCCCTACCATTTCTTTAGAGTGAAAACATTCAAAATTCTATCTTCTAGATTTTTGAAATATACAGTACATATTGTTATCTATAGTTACTGTACAGCAGCACATCATAACTTCTTTTTAATTTGTTTTGTTGTTGTAGATAAACACAATACCTTTACTTATTTATTTTTTTAATGTGGTGCTGAGAATTGAACCCTGTGCCTCACACACATCAGGCAAGCACTCTACCACTGAGCTGCAACCCCAGCCCCACGTCAGAACTTCTTACTCCTATCTAACTATCACTTAGTACACATTGGTCCACTTTTCCCCAACCCTCCCTCCTTCTTACTCTTCCCAGCCTCTGGTAACCACCTTTCCACTCTCATGTGATCAACTTTTTTAGATTTCATATGAGTGAAATCTTGGTTTGCTTTGGTTTTTCTCCCTAAATTCCTACATTTGTTGCAGAAAATCATACGCTCTGACCCATCTTTAAAAGCCTTAGCAATCTGGGCTCAGTAGCTCATGTCTGTAATCAGAGACTCAGAAAGCTGAGGCAGGATGATTACCAAGTTCAAAGAACAGCCAGGACAATTTAGAGAGATCCTGTCTCAAAATAAAATTTAAGAAGAGCTGGAATCTGGGTATAGTGGCACACACTGTAATCCCAGCTGTTTTGGGAGTCTGAGGCTGACACTGAAGTTGAGGATTCCAAGTTTGAGATCAGCTCTACAACTTAGTGAGAACCCTATTTCATAAAATAAAAGTCTGGGATGTAGCTCAATGGTAGGGCACTTGCCTAGAGTATCCAAAACCTAGTACCACCAAAAAACTGAACAAACAAACAAACAAACAAACAAAATCCCCCCAAAGGCCTCAGCAATTCTAAATGCCATTTGTTGCTCTTGCAAGATGACATGTGGATCATCCCTGGGTCAGAGGCTTGCATAATTGCAAGTTTCATAATCTCATGATCTTAAAGTCAAATGGGATTTCATTCTTCTTTTGATCCAGGGTGTTCGGTACTGTATCTTTTTTTTCCCTGTGCTTGGGATTGAACCCAGGAGTGCTTTACTCCAGAGCTACGTTACCAGCACTTTTAATTTTTTATTTTGAGACAGGGTCTTGCTAAATTGCTGAGGCCATCCCCAAATTTATGATCCTCCTGCCTCCCCCTGTCAAGTTGCTGGGACTACGGGCATGTGCTATCATGCCCAGTAGTGTTGTAACTTTTCAAAAAAAACTCCTTTACTTTATCTGAATCTTTTAGTCAATGGGGATTTTCTCTTGCAAGTATGCAAGTAGGAAAGAGACTCTCTCTGAAGTTAGGTTTCAAAGCTCTGAAAAGAGTGACTCTAAGGCATCTCTTTCCTGAGCTCAGGTATCATTGGGAAACATGGTTGGTGTGATCATCTGGAGTAGCAACCATAAATCAGCTGCCCCTTAGTCAGGCAAAAAATGTTGAAAGGCCACCTCACGTGCCCTTTGCACACTAGCATTTTGGGAGAGATTTTGATCTTGTTATATTTTTCCATAGTACCCTTCAAGGAGTAATTAACCCAAGAGTCAAGAGACCTTGACTCCAATAGCTGACGTTTCTTTAAGAAACCAGGACATTTGAATGGAGATGGTCTCTGCAACAAATCCTGCACAATCCCCTATAAGATACCTTCTGAGCATATTTTGCATAAATTGTGCAAGTGAAGTAATTTCTGTAACGTTTGAGGATCATTAAATACACTATAGCAAATTGGGCACATAGGAACAACTTCTAGCAGCTCCATTATATACACTTTGTTCCCTACTAGCAGGTGTATTCAGCAGTGTTACTACCTTTCAGGGTAAAATAATCATGCTATCTCCAAATCTTGAGATAAGAATTGTGATGTCTTGGTGTGGGGATGTAGCTCAGTAGTAGAGTGCTTGTCTAGCATGCACAATCCCCAACACTGCCACACACATACACACACACACAAAATTGTGATATCTTTCCTTTTCATCTACATAAGTATATGTATATGTTACTTTATGTATAAACATACCTGTGTGTGTATTTACATATATATTTACATATAGGTTTATATTCCAATTTTAGTTTTAAAAAATAATTTATTTACCATCATATTGTGAACATTAGAAGTAGGAAAAAGAGGAAAACAGGAAGCTCTGAGTTTTACAATTTTGTGATTTCCTTAGGGAACTAGATTCTGGTCTGGCTGAATACATATCTACACTAATCTGGGCAGCTCCTAGACTGCAGTCAGAAGTACCTGAGCTGAAAATAGTAAGTTTGACCAGTTTCAGTTACCTGTGTCATGATTATAGGTTTGAGTATCACTGTTGTCACTTGTTTGAATTGTGGGATTATTTGGAAAATCCTTTCTTCTCTTAAGGGATGACCAAAAAAAAAAAAAAAAAAGATTCTTTTCTTAATCTTTAAATGAAAAGTAAATGCTTGAAGAATGGTAGAATGGTAGAAGAAAATATACAGGCCTTAAGTAAATCAAAACTAACTTAAAAGTGGATTTCTTGCTGGGCACGGTGGTGCATGCCTGTAATCTCAGTGGCTGGGGAGGCTGAGGCAGGAGGATCACGAGTTCAAAGCCAGTCTGAGCAAAAGCAAGGCACTAAGCAACTTGGTGAGACCCTGTCTCTCAAAATACAAAATAGGGCTGGGGATGTGGCACAGTAGTTGAGAGCCCCTGAGTTCAATCCCCGATATCCACACATACACACAAAAAAAGTAGGTTTCTTTTGGGGAGGAGGGTTATACTTTATGAATGTTTAGAATTAATGGTTTTAACTTTTACATTTATCAGCCTACTTAAAAACAAAGCATTTGTTATTGTTGTTTTGATGCTTAAAGAACATAATTCCAAAAGGTAACATGGAAGTGATTTTTGCTTTCTTAGATTGTTCTTTATCTCAAGCAAATTTTCCATAACTTCATGAGCTTTGCCTTTCTTTCTTGGTATTGGTTTTCTGCAGGTATCTAATCAGCTGTGTGCAAAATACAGCCAAAAGTATGGTCAACTCTGTCAAACAAATGAAATTGGAACTGTCAACTCTCAGGTAGTATCATTTCTAGAGATGTACACTTTTCTATTGTCTTATTTATTTATTTATTCATTGCTACTGGGAATTGAACCCAGACGTGTTTAACCATGGAACCATATCCCCAGCCCTTTTTATTTTTATTTTGAGATAGGATCTCGCCAAGTTACGGAGGCTGGTCTTGAATTTGGAATCCTTCTAATTTAGCCTCCTAAGTCACTGGGATTACAAGCATGTACCACTGCACCCAGTCAGAGACACACACTTTTATAAACTCAGGAATCTAAGGAAATTGAGAAAACTCAAAAACATGTAATTTTGTGCAGATTAAAAGATGTAGACAAATGAATTTTGCTTTAGAGGCAGAACAATTTGGGTAAGCCTTAAGACTAGAGAATTAAAATCAGATCTTTATTTAAAAAGAAAAAAGCTAACACCAAAAAACATGAATTGATTTCTTTTTTAAGAAAGCATACATTTTCCTATGTGTAACTGGCCTACCAATTGGAAGAAAGCTAATGAAAATTAGAAATTTCAACTTTTAAGCAGATGATCACATATAAGTAATTAAAGACTGACATTTCAGCTGGATTACAGAGATCTGGCCACTACATTTGTTTCAGGCTGGTGGACATTTTCATTATTCAGAGTGTCTATTATTGGTTGTTAAATATATTCATTTATCACCCCTAATAAAGTTCAAATACTTATCATAGAATCAGAATTCTTGATTTTTTTTTTTTTTGATACCAGGGATTGAATTTAGGGACAGTTAATCACTGAGCTACAAACCAACCCTTTTTATTTTTTTTAATTTTGAAACAAGGTCTCTCTAAGTTGCTTAGGACCTCACTAAGTTGCTGAGGCTTGCTTTAAATTTGTAATCCTCTTGCCTCAGCCTCCCAAGTTGCTGTGATTATAGATGTGTGCCACCACGCCCAGCTCAAATATTTTTTTCTTAGGTTTACTTTCTTCCTCTTAACTTTGTTTGGTTTGACATTCCTTAACTCTAAGATAGCACTGTCCTATAATACATTCACAAGTTGGACCCCTTCTTGGGGCTACATTATACATCTTAAAAAATATACCTCTTAGGGCTGGGACTGTGGCTCAGTGGCAGAGCACTTGCCTAGTATCTATGAGGCACTGGGTTCAATCCTTAGTACTACATAAAAATAAACAAATAAAATAAAGACATTCTGTCCATCTACAACTACAAAAAATTTAAAAAATTATACCTCTTAGACAACAGAATAGAAAGATGGGGAAAAAAGTGATTTGGAGTTGAAAGACCACCTAATCTCTTTGTTTTGTATTTTATAAGTTTGGGTGTAAGTAAATCTGTTGTGCTTTTTATTTTGCAGCTAATGTGTAAATTAAATGTGAACACTCTACCCCAGGTTCTAGTGGAACAGTACCTGGTAGAAATTGCTAAGAACTATAATGTGCCCTATACATCCAAGACAAGCGTTATGGTGAGTACTTTCAAGAAGGGAAAAATACAGGCTGGGGATGTGGCTCCAGCGGTAGAGCGCTCTCCTGGCATGCATGCAGCACGGGTTCGATCCTCAGCACCACGTGCAAACAACAATGTTGTGTCCACCGAAAAAACTAAAAAATAAATACTAAAATTCTCTCTCTCTCTCTCTCTCTCTCTCTCTCTCTCTCTTTAAAAAAGGGGAAAAATAGCCGGGCATGGTAGGACATGCCTGTAATAACAGCAGTTTGGGAGGCTGAGGTAGGAAGACAGCAAGTTTAAAGCCAGTGTCAGTAACTTAGCAAGGCCCTAAGCAATTTAGCAAGACCCTGTCTCAAAATATAAAATAGAAAAGGCTGGAGATGTAAAGCATCCCTGATTCAATCTCCATTATAAAAAAAAAAAAAAAGGAAAAATGGGGGCTGGGGATGTAGTTGAATGGTACCGTGCTTGCCTGGAGTGTACAAGACCCTGGGCTTAATCCTGAGCCTAGGAGACAGAGACAGAAACAGGGACAGACAGAAAGAGAAAAGATTTGAGGTTGCGATTTTTATTGTGCTTCAGAAGAGTTTTTTCTACTTATAGAGATGTGGTTTCCAGAGTTACTGGAAAAATTGTAAAGCAGGTAAAATTTGAACTTTTTCTGTGCCCACATATCATTCCTAATAGACCCATATATATTATTAACAACAGAAGAGAAAACAAATATCAAGATACTTAAGGTGTTAGATCAAGGAGTATGTCAAACATTTCCTAGTTCTTAAGATCACAACTTTGTCCTGGACATATTTTGCATTTATTTTGTGGTTTTTACTTTTTGGTGGTACTGGGGATTGAACCCAGGGGTGTTGTACCACTGAGCTACAACCCCTTTTTAAAAACTTTTTATTTGGAATTTCCTGTTTCGTGTGGTAACCTCACAGTGAGATCTGAAGTGCTGAAGATTGTTGGTGTGGTAATGGGGCTCTCCATGCTTTTTGTGTTCACTCATGGTTTCTTTCTTTGTAGTTGTAGAAGGACAAAGTGTCTTTATTTTATTTGTTTATTTTTATGTAGTGCTAAGGATTGAACCCAGTGCCTCACAGATGCTAGGCAAGTGCTCTGCCACTGAGCTATAGCCCTGCCCCCATTCATAGTTTTGAGGATGTGGCTATAACCTGTAGTGAATACTGGCTGCAGGTCAGAATTAAACAAAGGCCTGATTTGAACTACCAGCAATTCTAGGTATATGACCTATATCTGGGAACTGATTGTACTGTAACTGGAAGACTTGGATTTCTTTGAGTTCCTTTATCCTTTGTCTTCTTACGGGATCAAAGCTGAAGTGTGCCCATGGGTATTCTCAGGTATTCTCATTGAAAGTTCAAACACTTATGAATCAGTAAATACAGATATCATTGGTTGCTTACCATATTATACTATATTCAAAGAAAGTTTACAATCTCTTATGGGGAAAAAAATAAAAAGGAGTAATAGTCATGAATCCAAAATATCAATGGGAAAGAAATATTCAAGTTTGCATCATGTGAAAATTTCAGGGACACATCTAGGAGTGACAGATTGGGATAGTGGATCATATTCATTTTATCCCTCCTCATTTAAGTATAGGAATGAAGCTATAAATTCTGGATGGGGAGATTGCTTTACCAATCCTGGTACTTTGGCTGCCTGAGAATTGCAGTGCCTATTGGAGATTGGACTAAATGCCTATGGTTATTTAAAAATTATTGTTTTAAATTAAGAACTTTCTTTGCAGTCCACATTTAAGTACTATTCTTGTGGTGGAGAAAAGTAATTTCTTTAGATTTTTAAATTTGTAGTGAAGGCATTTTTAAAAATAAAGTTTTGCAATTCGTTAAAAAAAAAAAAACCTTTATTTTGAGACAGAGTCTCACTAAATTGCTTAGGCTGGCCTCCAACTTGCAATCCTCCTGCCTCAGCCTCCTGGATCGCTAGAATTACAGGTGAGTTCCACAATGCTGGGCTCATATTTTACATTTTAATAAAAAGTTCCTGGAATAAAGGCTACAAGATGCAAAGGAACACAGCAGTATCATGTAGTCTTAAGAGTGTTATTTCAGTAGTGAAATGTGCCATTTTCACATCCTAGGTCCACTATCTATTAACCATGAGACCTCAGGCAACTTTCAAAGACTCAGTTCTTTGGACTATAGAAAGGAGGATAATAATAGTTCCCATCTCATAAATTTGTTGAAGTGATTAAATGGGCCCATACAAATAAAGAAGTTAAATGGAATGTAAAACCTAGCACATAATAAATATAATCAAGTTAGTTGTTTTTGTTCTTTTTTTTTTTTTTTTTTGAGATGGAGTCTGTGATATCCAGGATGGTCTCAAACTCCTGGGCTCAAGGGGACCTCCCAAGTGCTGAGATTACAGGCATGCTCTATCCCATCTGATTTTCAAGTTTTGCCTTGTATAATATCATTGTTATGGAGGGTAGACTATCCTCCCTAAGATGGTCATGAACTGTCTTAAGAGGGATTTCTCCCAATGCTTCCAGTGATTGTTTAGGTGGTGTCCTGTGATTTTATAAAAAGATGGTCTCATACTCAGGTGCCAAACTTATGCTAGTGAGGACATGAAGCAACAAAGGGGTCTGGTCTATCCTCTGTGTTACCACTGCACTGCCTTCAAATTGCTAATGTGGAATGTGGCACATTGTGACTAAGGGGCATATTTATCTTTTCTGATGCTTTGCTGCTGATAGGAACTCTTTAACTCTTCTTTATTTTTTCTCTTTCTTGTCCAAAGAATTATTGTTGAAAAGTGGCATGTTGTAAAAATTTAAACAAAGAGAGAGACTTTGAAGAAACAAAAGCCACATGAAATGTCACTAGAGTCTGAACTCCTGTAATTCCAGCATCTTGGGAGACTGAGGCAAGAGAATCACAAGTTCAAAGCCAGCCTCAGCAATTTAGTGAAGTCCTAAGCAACTTAGTGAAACCCTGTCTCAAAATAAAATATAAAAAAGGGCTGATGATATTGGTCAGTAGTTAAGCATCCTTGGGTTAAAGTTCTAGTACCCTCCCAAAAAAAAAAAAAAAAATCACCAGAGAGGATTTCATCCAACCTTGTGGTTTTCAATAGAGATTGAGGATCTTTTATTTGAATCACTGGGACCATAAATATTTCACATTTCAGATGTTTGGGGTTTTGGAATATTTTCATGTACCTAATTAGATATTTTAAGAATGGGGCCCAAGTCTAACATGAAATTCATTTATATTTTATGTAAACCTTATACACATAGCTTGAATATAATTTTATTTTATTTTTAAAGAGTATGCAATATTTTTATAACTTTTTATTTTACTTATTTATTTTTATGTAGTGCTGAGGATCAAACCCAGGGCCTTGCATGTGCTAGGTGAGAGCTCTACCATTGAGCCATAACCCCAACCCTTGAGTGTAATTTTATACAATATATTTAGTGTGCCTGTGTTTTGACTGTGACCCATCAAGTGAGGTAAGGTGTGGAATTTTCCACTTATGGTATCATGTTGGTACTTAGAATGTTTTGGTTTGGGGTTTTTTGGATTAGGGATGCTCAATCTGCATCTCTTTAAAAAAATTTTTTTGGTAGTTGTTTGGACAGCATGCCTGTATTTTATTTGTTGATTTTTATGTGGTGCTAAGGATGGAACCCATTGCCTCATACAAGCTAGGCAATGGGTTCAAGCACAAGCTGTGCTCTACCACTGAGCTACAGCCCCAGCCCCTCAATCTGCATCTCTTTTTTTTAATATTTATTTTTTAGTTGTAGTTGGACACAATAACTTTATTTCACTTATTTATTTTTATGTGGTGCTGAGGATCAAACCCAGGATTTCGCATGTGCAAGGTGAGCACTCTATCGCTGAGCCACAATCCCTAGCCCCTATATCTCTTTATGGTGGGAATTTCTACATACCATTAGCCAAGACTTCTAGGCTCGTATGAATTCCAGTTCATATATCCATCCACCTGCGGTTTTAATATCTGAAACACTTGGATGTTTCAGAAGCATCTCAGACTGAACATGTCCAAAAGGACTCTCATCCCTCTACCACCCTACTCATTCTACAGTTAATAGTAATTCTATGCTGGGACAAAAAGCTTGATATTTTTCTTGTCTCTTCTTTTTCTAAACCCCCACCTCCAAGCAATATTCAGAATGTTACCGCTTCTCACCATTTCCACTGCCAATATTCTGGTCTAATCAGCAATCATCTCCTCCTATTTAGATTATTACAATAAGTCACTTAACTGCGTTTCCTGCTTCTACCGTTGATCCCCCATTAATTGATACTTAATATGGCATCAAAGATCTTTATATCTAAGTCAGATCAGGTCACTCCTTTGCCTTTGAAGCCCTCCAGTGGATTTTTATTTCACTTAAGATAATATGGAATGTCTTTCTCGTGACTGACAAGGCTATGTACACCTCCTGTCTCTTGTCTCTCTGGCCTCATTTTCTCTACTCTTCCTTTGTTTACTCTGCCTCAGCCACACTGGCCTCCTTCCTTACACTTCTTCAAACACACAAGGTACTTTCCCACCTCAGGACCTTTGTACTCCCTTCCAGTACTCTGTTTTTTTTATATATCTACCTGGTCCCTCCCTACTTGCTTCAAGTCTGTATTTAAATGTTCTCTTCTCTGTGAGATCCTTCCTAGCTACATTTTCTAAAATCTCAAACTCTTCCCTCTGTAGTTCTCTATATTTTTTCTCTAGTGCACTTGTTTCTTATCTGACATACTGTGTAACTCACTTAATGATCTTGTTTGTTATCTGTCTCCCCAGCTAGAAAGTCACCTCTCTGAGGATGGGCACTTTTGTCTGTTTTGTTCACTGTTGCATCCCCAGCAACTATTGCTGGCTTATATTAGGTGGTCAAGAGACTTTGTCAAGTGAACTAGTAAATCCAGAGTTTATCATTGCTCAAGTTTAATAAACTTTATTTAGACATATCTATACATATTTACTTATTACTCTTCTTTGAAAAATATTTTTAGTTGCAGACGGACACAATACCTTTATTTTATTTATTTATTTTTATGGTGCTGAAGATTGAACCCAGTGCCTCACACGTACTAGGCATGTGCTCTGCCACTGAGTCACAACGCCAGACCTACATATTACTCTTATTAATTTTTTAAAAAAATGGACAAAAGCCTTTATTTTATTTGTTTATTTTTATGTGGGGCTAAGGATCAAACCCAGTGCCTAACAAGTGCCCTGCCACTGAGCTACAGCCCCAGCCCTGCATATTACTCTTAATTGGTGTACCACAGTGCCTGACCTCTTTGGTACTCAAAGTCATTGGAAGAAAGAAGAAGACAGTTAATTACATTCTGCTGTCAAATGTAACAAATTAGAATAAATAAAATAAAAAATAAAAATTAAAAAAAAAGAAGACAGTCGACCAGAAAAACTTAAGTTTTCTTTTAACTGTCACTGACTAGACTATAAGCTTCATAAAGGCTGGAACATTGTTGCATTGTGCATTACTTCTTCCCAGTACTTCCAAGAGTGTTTAATATGTAATAAGTATGCAAATAAATAAGTGTATAATAAATTGCAAACCTGATGGGATTCTTATCCTCTTGTCTAAGGCTGAAGCCCCAGCGGACCTGGTCTGTGTTGGATTTACAGAGGATGTCAAGAAAGATGCCCTTGGCAGAGGAGATAGCACTGCAGTGAGAGCAGGTGATCCACCTGGGGCTTTGCCGATATCTGCACCAGGGCCCCTACATGTGCCATCCCCAGGCCCTTGTTTCCCGTCCTTTCCTCCTGAAAGACAGGTCAGTACAGATAGGGAAACTGAAATTGAAATGGGACTGCATGAGTGTTAAACTATACTTCTAGCTGGGCCTTTTGGAGAACAAAATGATCTTAAGGCCAGGGAGGTATTTACAATCATTTAGTTGATGTTGGTGTGTTTTTATTCTGAAGTCATGAGTAAAGAAAGCTATTGTCTCTTATCAACCTCTGGATGATACCAAATATACACTGAAAAGAACATTTTATTTATTTATTTTAGTTGTGAATGGTCACAATATCTTTATTTTATTTATTTATTTTTATGTGGTGCTGAGGCTCAAACCCAGTGCCTCACACATGCTAGGCAAGTGCTCTACCACTGAGTACAGCCCCAGCTACCCTGAAAAGAACATTCTTACAAGCTGAACACATTTGAAAATCCTTCATGTACAGTGATTTAAACTCAGGTCAGATTAGATATATTCAATTCATATATAGTGAAACCAATTTACTTTCATGTTGAAAATAATTTTAAAAAGTGTTCTATATGTGTACTATGAATTGAAATGCATTCTGTTGTCATGTATAAATAAATAAATTTAAAAAAGAGATGCAATAAACTCAAGATATATGAGACTGTTGCCAGCATAACATAGAATATTGTTTTATAGTGAATTTAAACAACAACTTTGCATACGTAAATCTGGAGAGATCAAATAGGTAAAAATGAAAGAACCATAGACATTACTTTTCTTTATTCTTTATTCATTCAGCAGTATGTAAAGAAAAATGCTTTTATTCTTTTTCACCTTGTAGTCTTTTTTTTTTTGAATACCAGAGATTGAACTCAGGGACGCTCAGTGGAGCCATATACCCAGCCCTATTTTGTATTTTATTTAGAGACAGGGTCTCATTGAGTTGCTTAGCACCTCATCATTGCTGAGGCTGGCTTTGAACTCACCATCCTCCTGTCTCAGCCTCTTGAGCATGCACCTCAGTGCTGGCCCTTATAGGCATTTTTTACTCCAAAGTTCTTTCTCTAAGATTTTATATTTTAGACATAAACTAACTCTGATTTTCCTTGTTAAAAGTATTTGTCTAAACTACACCTTGTGTATTTTTTTCTTCTATTCTTGGAATACATATCCTCTGATTTAAAAATAAACAAACTTTATTATGGACAATTTTAAGTATATATAAAATTTGAATAATATAGTCAATTGCCATGTAACCATCATTCATTTTCAACCATTCTTGACATTCTGTTTGTCTTATTTTGTCCCTTTGTCTTTTTCTAACATTGTTTAGAGAAGGATGGGAGAAGAGACAGACATTATAAATCTCAGACATTATAAAATTTCAACTGTAGTTATTTTGGTATAGTCATGTGTTGCTTAATGACAGGATGCATTCTGAAAAATGTCATTAGGCAATTTCATTGTTGTGCAAACATCAAGGAGTGTAGCTACAGAAACCTAGGTGGTTTAGGCCAATAACTTAACATGGCCTCTTTTTTTAATTTAAAAAATGTTTTTCTACATTTTTATTGGTGCATTATAGTTGTACATAATGATGGGATTTGTTGTTACATATTACATATGTACATACAATATAGCAATGTAATTTGGCCAATATCATTCCCTGCCTTTTGACATGGCCTTCTTTTTAAAAATAATTTTTTAGTTGTAGATAGACACAATACCTTTATTTATTTATCTTTATGTGGTGCTCAGGATCCAACTCAGTGCCTCACACGTGCGAGGCAAGCGCTGTACCAGTAAGGTACAATCACAGCCCTTGACATGACCTCTTGATTCAGTAGATTCCTTGGAAAACTTGAAATGAAACCAAGATTTGACCTAGTTATCCCACTCCTTAGTTTATACCCAAAGGACTTAAAAACAGCATACTATAGTAATGATGTCACATTAATGTTTATAGCAGCACAATTCATAATAGCTAAATTGTGGAACCAACCTAGATGCCCTTAGTAGATGAATGGATAAAGAAACTGAGGTATATATACACAATGAAATATTACTCAGCATTAAAAGAGAATAAAATCATGGCATTTGCAGGTAAATTGATGGAGTTGGAGAATATTATGCTAAGTGAAGTAAGCCAATCCCAAAAAAACAAATGCTGAATGTTTTCTCTGATATGAGGATGCTGATCCATAATGGGGATGGGGGAGCATGGGAGGAATGGAGGAACTTTAGATAGGACAAAAGGGAGGGAGAGGAAGGGAGGAAGTAGGGGGTAGGAAAGAAGGTGAAATAAGATGGACATCATTGCCCCAAGTACATGTATGAAGACACAAATGGTGTGATTCTACTTTGTGTACAACCAGAGACATGAAAATGTGCTCTGTCTGTGTACTATGAATTGAAATGCATTCTGTTGTCATGTATAATAAATTAGAATAAATAAATAAACTCAAGATATATGAGGCTGCTGCCAGCGTAGCTTAGAATATTGTTTTATACTGAACTTAAATAACAAAAATACAGTATAGTAAATATGTAAATTAATAACATAGTCATTTATACTCATTATCAAGTATTATGTGCTGTACATATTGTATATGCTGTACTTTTATATAAGTATCAGTGCAGGAGATTTGTTTATACCACATACATGTGAGTAATGCCTTGTACTACAATGTTGTGGTCAGTTCTTGACTGAAGCATTGTCATGTGAACGTGACTATATGTAGCTCTAACACATATTCTTTGTTTTTATAATATAAAACAGTGTCATTGGGCTGGGGATGTGGCTCAAGCGGTAGTGCGCTCGCCTGGCATGCATGCAGCCCGGGTTCAATCCTCAGCACCACATATAAACAAAGATGTTGTGTCCGCCGAAAGCTAAAAAATAAATATTACAAAACTCTCTCTCTCTCTCTCTCTCTCTCTCTCTCTCTCTCTCTCTCTCTCTCTCTCTCTTAAAAAAAACAGTGTCATTATGTTCAGTATAATGAAAATAACTCCTTAATATCATACAAGGCTCAATCTATATTAAGTCTCTCTCACAAGTACAATTTGTGCATTTATTTTATTCAAATTAAGATCCAAAAAGATCTACACATTGTATTTGGTTGATATATATTTTAAATCTTTAATCTATAACCCTTCTTCCTATTCTTCCTTTTTTTTATCTCACCATTTATTTTTGGAAGAAGAGTTCTCTGATTTTATTAAACTAAATAATTTTTACAAATAGCATGTTCAGGCACAGAGATAAAAGATTTTCTTGGGTCTTATAAAAGGTCACAGGTGACAGAAAAAGCAAACCCCGTAGTCATTCGTAAGACTTTCTGCCCATAGGTATTAAAAAATTTTACCCTAGGGCTGGGATAAAATTTTACCCTAGTGGCTCAGTGGTAGAGCGCTTGCCTAGCATGCGTGAGGCACTGGGTTCGATTCTCAGCACCACATATAAATAAAATAAAGATCCATTGACAATTAAACAATATATTAAAAAAAATTTTACCCTAGCTCAGCCACCCAGAGTTTTAAAACCATGTGCCAGGGCAGGAGGGAGGGGTAGGGCAGTGCCTATCCACTCTTGCTTCAGAGCACTGGAGGATGCCTGCCCCTGGCTGGGTCTGAGGCCCGATCCCAGGTAGAGGGTGGCCGAGGCTGTCATGTGGTAGGACATTGGGCCAGTGGAGAACACTTACCCTAGTCCTTTACTGACCCACACCTCTGTCCCCTGCACCTCCTCCCGCACTCTCTTGGCTCCCCACCATTCTCCCCTGGCACAGTGCCTTACACAGAGGTGGTCATCAGGGGGTTTGAACTGAGTCCCACTACCTCAGGGGACACCTCTCCTCCCCCACTTGTTTAGGATTCTACACTAGGAGGCCTCCATTACCTCTTCCCACTCCATCCCTGCAGAGGGGCTCCATTCACCTCCACTCTCTCTTTCACCTCTTTTCCTGTTGTATATATCACCTTTGTTGACAATAAATTATTTTTTTTAATTAAGAGAAAAAAATTTTTACCCTAAACAAGAAGGAAGCTTGATTGTACTAGTTAATTTCAAGTTAATTTTAAGAAATACTTATTGAAGATTTGCTGTGTGAAAAATATATGCATTTGTAACTCAAACTATTCACTTCCTAGTGATTTTTTTTCTTTCAGAATGATGACTATAAGAAGAATGATTTGCTTCCCTCACTGGTTCCTAGTAAGTAGAGAAAATGCTGGCGGAAGTTGGAGTTGCTTGCTATTCACTGAAGATATTTGAAAAATTATTTTTAAATAACTTTTTAGTCTTCAATGGACATTTATTTATTTATATGTGGTGCTGAGAATTGAACCCAGTTCCTCACACATGCTAGGGAAGTGCTCTTCCACAGAGCCAAACCCCAGCCCCTATTTCAATTATTATAAGACTATGGGGGCTGGGGATGTGGCTCAGTGTTAGCTCGTTCGCCTAGCATGCGTGAGGCACTGGGTTCGATTCTCAGCACCACATAAAAACAAAATAAAGATATTGTGTCCACCTAAAAAGCTAAAAAAAAAATAAATATTTTTTAAAAAAAGACTATGTCTACACTGGTGAGAGAAGTATATTAGTGACTTACCAGGGGTACAGTTGTTCCTTTATAGTAGCTAACAGTTTTCATCATGGATGTGGATAGTGTTTTGAAATCCATGATACAATTTAGGAGGTATAGACCTTCCAATGTTCAGACTTAAAAATTAGTAGCTAAACCAGGCATGTTGCTGCATGCCTATAATCCCAGCAGCTTGGGAGGCTGAGACAGGAAGACTGTGTGTTCAAAGCCAGCTTTAATAACGACGAGGCAATAAGCAACTCAGTGAGACCCTTTCTCTAAATAAAATACAAAATGGGACTGGAAATGTGGCTCAGTGATCAAGTGACCCTGGGTTCAATTCCTGGTGTCCATCCCCCCAAAAAATTAGCAGCTAAAAGTTAGTAGGAAAATAAAACTACTCCCATTAGAGGCCTCACTTCTGGGAACTTGGTCTAATGCAAGTATACAGAGTTCCTGTGGCAAGGCCTCTAATGTGAATAACTTTGTTTGCATTAAACCAGGGGTTCTTGGTATAGAGTCCACTAAGTGAGAGGCACAATTTTGGATATGTAAGGGAAAGGATTCATTGCTTTCATCAGATTTCGGGAGTCTTTAACACAAAGAATCAATATTATAAGAGATCGTCCTGTTACATATTTTGAAAATTGTGCCTTTGTTAAAAGCTCCAGTGAACCTTAAAGAAGATTGCCAGCAAATGATAAACAATACCACCTGTTGCATGAAGGGAGAATTGTTAAGTTTTCCAGTCATAGCATATGCTGCATTCTTAAAAGCCATTGTAGGGGAGGGAGTGATCCCCTCTCCCAACCCTAGGTTCTTAAATGGGTTTTTGGGCTGGGTCTAGAAACTGAATTAGCATAAGATCTGATTAATAAGATAAAAGCAACAAGAATTATTTGTTTATAATTTTTAATTGTATATTGACACAAAGCCTTTATTTATTTTTAAGTGGTGCTGAGGATCAAACCCAGTGCCTCACGCATGCTAGGCAAGAGCTCTTCCACTGAGCTACAACTTCAGCCCCAAGATTTATTACTTTTGCACATTAGAGAGTAAAGTTCAATTATGCCAAGGCATAATGCTTATATACTTTTTTTAGAAAATAAATTTGCAGGAATGACAGGATAAATGGATCTTTGGATGAGAGTAGTAAATTCTAGGGATATTACTAAGAGGTATATGGGGTGGGAAATAAAAGCTAGTGGAAGGTAAGGAAGGGTTACTTAGAGGCATTTATTGAGGTTCACTAAGCCCCAGTTACCAGAGTCTAGTGGCTTGGACTGGGAAGGACATCCAAGAAAATCTTTATGACTTGCTGCGTGTAGGAAAAGATGGGCCAAATAGTCCTCTTTGAAGCTACATGTGATTTCAACTTGAAATAATCAATAGACCAATTCAGCATATTTTGAAAGAGTATATTCTTAATTTCTTCACAATGCAATAGTAGCCTCTTTCTTTGAGGCTGGGATTTTTTTCTGGAGGACTGCCTTGTTATGACTTTTAATTACATATATTGAAATACATAGGTCCAGGACTCAGCCCCCAAACTTCTTCAAAGCCAGAATCAAGAACCAAGATTGGTTTCCATAACTTTATGCTGTCTAATTTGCCTGATGTAAAACCTCAAGCAAGCCCATCCATCGACCCTTATGATTCCGAAGAGGTTGACTTGGAAGACCTTAACCGGAGACTTGAAATGCTGAAGAAAATGAATTAATTTCTTGGACCTTGAATTGAGCATTTGCCTGGGAATCAGGACTGGGTGTGAATTTTAGCATAGCCATCTCTGTGTGGGTCTGAAGCTTTCTCGTTCACAATTCCTTCCATTTCTTAAATTCTATATATCTCTGCCTACTGTAATAATGTGTAAATGTGTCTGTGTACACACTTGTAATTATTTCTGTCCCCTCAAATTTGAAATACTTAGATGAAGATTCTTGACCTACAGAATATTATTAATTGAGGTCAATAAATTTTCCTCTGGATCTTTAATTATCCCATAATTATCTCTTTTTTTTTTTCAGGTAGGCAGAATGGTGTGAATTTTAAATCCCATTGCATACTACCTATATGACTTTTAGCAAATGGTGCCTCCTGTCAAATTTATATGAAAGAACTCAAAAGCTAGAGGAAAAGATCTTTTAATAAATGAGTTTTGCGGGGCTGGGAAGATAGCTAAGTGGCAGAGTGTTTGCTTATCATGTGTGAGGATCTGGATTTGATCCCAGTACTGCAAAAACAAACAAACAAACAAACAAAAAAACCCAACCCAAACCCTGAACAAATCCAAAGAGTCAACAAAACAAATAAGTATTTGGAAGAATGAATGTACATATATAATAAAATAAGTGTTTCCAGAAAATCAGTGGAATCCTGTATGTCTGGACTCAAATGTAGACTCTGCCACTTACTAGCCGCTTCTTTTTCTCATCTGTAAAATGGGGACAATAATAAGGATTAAAGAAATAGTGCATATAAAAGTCTTAATAGGTGATCAATAAATTTTAGGTTCCTATCCAGTTTCTATTATTTGTTGTGGTCTAATAGACTAAATCTTGGTGATTTTATGAGACTAGATAAAGAAGAATCTGAGAAAACAAGTCCAACTTAACTTTTCTTTTTGATTGCAAAAATAAAACAAAATTAAAATCCTCTATAGTCCCATCATCCAAAGATAACCATTTTTATATTTTAATTTTGTTTTTCAAATTTTTCTGTATGTATACACAATTTTTACAAGCTTATTTTAGTTACATTGTTTAGAAAAATCTGCTATACCATGATTATAAAGTTAGAGCTATAATTTTATTTTTATTGGTAGCCTAATGGTCCCCATTATGAATGTGTGTAACTTATCTGAAATTTGAGGTTATGTCTTAGAAGTTGGGGAGTAAGCCTTTCTAAATTTTAAGCACAAGCCACAGAAACCAAAGATTCCAAGTTAATGATAATTATGGCATAAATTGGGGCAATTCTTTTTAATTTTGGGTTGCATGGGTGAGGGATTTGGTAATTAAAAAGAAAATATAAAAAAGATACAGGGAGGAGGTTTATGTTGCGAATTTCTCTTTGATTATCTGCCATTTGGTATGGTACAATTGGTATGGTATGGGGGGTGGGTATTGAGTATTAAACCTATGGGACCTTACCCACTGAGCCACATCCCCAGCCCTTTTTTAAAATTAATTTTTAAATTTGTTTTAATTAGTTACACATGGGCTGGGGATGTGGCTCAGGCTGGGGATGTGGCTCAAGCGGTAGCGCGCTCACCTGGCATGCGTGCGGCCCGGGTTCGATCCCCAGCACCACATACCAACAAAGATGTTGTGTCCGCCGAGAACTAAAAAAAATAAATATTAAAAATTCAAAAAAAAAATTAGTTACACATGACAGTAGAATGCATTTATGCACTTTGATATATCATACATAGATGGGATTTAATTTCTCATTTTTCTGAGTGTACATGTTGCAGAATCACATTGGTCATGTAGTCACATATATACATAAAGTAATAATTTTTTGTGTGTTTTATTCTACTATCATTCCTATCCCCATATCCACTCCCCTCGCCTCCCTTCACTTCTCTCTACCTAATCTAAGGTAGCGCTATTCTTCTCTTGTGTACCCCGCATTGTTGTGAATTAGCATCCACATATTAAAGAAAATATTTAGCCTTTGTTTTTTTGGGGGGATTGGCTTATTTCATTTAGCATGATATTCTCCAACTCCATCCATTTACTGGCAAATGCCATAATTTCACTGTTCTTTAAAGGTGAATAATATTCCATTTGCCCAGAGCATTTTATTTTCATTTTGAAACAGGGTCTGCTTAGAGCCTTACTAAATGGCTGAGGCCGACTTTGAATTTGCAATCCTACTTCAGCTTCCTGAGTGGCTGGGATTACAGGTGTGCACTACTGAGCCTAGCAGAGCTCTTCTTAAGAAGACAGGTTTTCTTTTCTTTTTGGTTTTTAATGGTAAACACTTTATTTTGGCCTCTAAACAATTTTTGTGATATTCCAAATGGAATACTTACTAACTCTGCTTTGCAACCTCTATTCTTTTATGGAAATCTCAAACTGAATTTGGCATGTGTTCCATGCATAGCTACAGCTCAAGGGAACCCACATTTTGTCATCCTTATGATATTTTAGTGTTATTCTATTTACTAACCATGTGATCTAGAGCTACACTTTACTGATGTGTAGCAGAGGGATAGGAGGGTCTGAATCTATAAGTATTACTCTTTTCAATCCATTTGCCCTAGGTTGATTTTGCCCTTGTGTTTGTGTTTGTCGTTTTGGTGGGTACAATTTTCTAAAATGTAAGATGGCGATATATAGCAGAAATCTAGTGGGGGAAGGAAACTTTTAGCAAGTCACAGTTTCTCTGAGTCTCTATCTCCTTATTTATAAAACTAAATTATGTGCTGATGCTGTAACTCAGTGGTAGAGCGCTTGCCTAGCAAGTGTGAGGCACTGGGTTCAATTCACAGCACCACATAAAAATAAAAAAAACGTAGTGTATCCATCTACAATTAAAAAAGATATTTAAAAAATAAATAAAACTGAATTATTGGGCCAGGGTTATGGCTCAGTGGTAGAGCACTTGCCTAGCATGTGTGAGGCACGGCACTGGGTTTGATTCCCAGCACTGCACATAAATAAACAAAATAAAAGTACATCTAAAAAATATTTTTAATTTCTTTTTTTTTAAGAGTGAGTGAGAGAGAGGGGGACAGAGAGAGAGAGAGAGAGAGAATTTTAACATTTATTTA